AAATATCACATAAACACAATTTTTATAATTTTTAATTTTAAATTTAAATAAATTAAATTTTTTCACTATGGCAATCCTAAATAAGAAAATTTAATATTTTGACGTTTGAAATTTGTCCACACTTCGTTTAACCTTCCTAAAGTGGTGAGAGGTCGATAGATTCTTGGTGGCTGATTTTAAAACACGCAATTTTCCTTTACATATTAACGTTTAAATAATTAGAGGGAAATATGTTGAAGCAACTTTCTAGACCAGTTATTTCTTTGAGAAATTTCTCTACTTCGAGATCGGTAAGATAAAAATCGGAATTTGACAAAAAATTCATGTAAATTTTAGTGTATGTGTTGTGGGGGTTGGGGTTTTTTCTTCATACACGTTTACGTAATAGTACTTTTGCGTTTTTATGCAAAATGCACTAATGCGAATCTATTTTTAACTTATATTGGTTATAAATATTTTATAATATCTATTATTAATTTTTATAGAACAAATACAAGGTGACAGTATGCGGCGCCTCCGGTGGTATTGGTCAGCCTCTGTCTTTGCTTATGAAGCAAAATAAGCTGGTTACAACTTTATCTCTGTACGATATCGTACACACACCTGGTGTAGCTACGGACTTGTCCCACATTGACACTAATAGCACTGTATGCGGTTTCATGGGACCAGATCAAATGCCCGATGCTTTGGATGGTAAATAGTAATGCTATGCAAATATAGTTTATTTTCAAAATAATTTGTTAGAGAATTGAACACGGTTTATTGCATACCATATGGTTTTATAATTTTTGCTACCACAAGTAAATGCTTTCATTTATAATTTATGAGTTTAAAAAGAAATCTTATCAGTTTTGCGAAGTAAATCTTATTTGTATTTTATTGCATAATAACTTTATGGCATATTATTTATTCATTTTCAGTTTGCAATTAAATATAAATTATCTCTATAAAATTGTATACCTCAAAAATGACAATATGTAATAACAATAAGATATGAAACTGCATTGTGAATTTGTATAAGAAAGATGTTTATATAAATTGATATATTAAATAATATATCATATGTTCTGCAATATTACACAAATCCCTCAGATGAAAATATTATGTTGGTGAGATAACCTCTTATCTGTGCATACAAGCGATTGACTTGTGCAAAGTACAAATTTCACTTGAGTTTAGCAGTTGTAGTTTATATATTTCGATTATTATTCATAATACTCATAATAAGAAAATAAATTAATATATAAAAATTAAGGGCCTTGATAGCACCAATTACTGTGAAATCTGCTTAGTTTTTTTTTTTCTTATTCGTTTTTTAACAGTTAAACTCCGACGAAAAGCAGTTCACTACTTACTACTTCATTATTAGCAGTGAACGGTACTATGTCGGGGAGATTGCAGAGTCACCATAAAATAAATGCTTGAACGCCTTGGCACCATCACACAATAGTAGTTGCATTCGTGTCATAACAGCCCAGCATATAAGTTTAGACATATAAAAACACAGTATATATAGTTTTTATAACTAAGTTAATTATATATTATTTACTTAACTTATTTTCTACATTTTTTCGAAAATTCTTATAAAATTTATATTAAACATACTATATTTTTTTAGGTGCTGATGTTGTTGTCATCCCAGCTGGTGTGCCTCGTAAGCCTGGCATGACTCGTGATGATCTCTTTAAAACTAATGCTTCCATTGTTAGAGATATTGCCAAATGCATTAGTACTAAATGTCCAAAAGCTTTGGTAGCAATTATTACGAATCCCGTCAATACCGTTGTTCCAATTGCAGCTGAAGTTTTAAAGAAGGTATATTCAAACACATGAATATGATTATTATATAAAAATATCAATTTATTTCTATTTCTTATAATAGGCTGGTGTCTATGATCCTAAACGTTTATTTGGTGTATCCACTTTGGATATTGTACGTTCACGTACATTTATTGGAAATTCCCTTAATGTCGATCCACAAAAAGTTACCATACCTGTTATAGGTGGTCATTCAGGAGTTACCATAATTCCAGTTCTTTCTCAATCCCAGCCAGCTTATAAAGGTAGCCAATCAGACATTGAAAAGTTGACTGTACGCATACAAGACGCTGGCACTGAAGTAGTTAAAGCTAAAGCTGGTGCAGGATCGGCTACATTATCCATGGCTTACTCTGGTGCACGTTTTGCCGGCTCATTGCTACGTGGTTTGAATGGTGAATCTGGTGTTGTTGAATGTTCTTATGTTGAATCATGTGTAACTGATGCAACATTCTTCTCCACGCCCATTTGTTTGGGCAAGAATGGCCAAGAGGAGAATTTAGGTCTACCAAAAATGAATGACTTTGAAAAGAAGTTATTGGAAAAAGCACTGCCTGAATTGAAAAAAAATATTCAGAAGGGTGTTGATTTTGCCAATAAGTAAGGATTGTAAATAATTGGTCAGTAAAAATATCGTCATTTACAAAATCAGCTGAAGCCATAGAAAATTGCGACTTAATTAGTGAACCTAGTAAAATAATTTATTTATTTAAAAAACTGTAATTTGTAAATTTTTAGTATGGTATATCATTTTTAGTGAAATTTGGGTTGTATTAGCTAATTAAGTTTGGTCAAGACATCTCCCACAATAAAACTCAGTAAAATATTTGGTAAACACAAAAGTCACATGTGTGAATTATTTTTTAAACTAATGAACACAAATTAAAAAATAAATATCGTTTATATCAAATTATGGCATAGAAAATTTGAATCGAAAAATTCAAATTTTATTTAGTTTTGTTAAGTGCTAATATCTTAAATTAAATTTCGGTGTATATTGATTAATATATGTATAGTATATATTTTTACTTTTTGGTGACAGTTTAGTTTTAAAATTAAATCTATATTTAAAATTATATAACAGAAAATATTCTCTAATTGAAATTGTCTGCAATAACAGATAAACATATATATACATAATGCTTTCCAATGTTTAAACAACATATGTTAAAAATTATTCCACATTTGTTTTAAACATATTTTTATTAAAGTATACTATTGTCGTATGCATTTAAATGAATACTGCTGATCGTATATTAATCTCAAAACGACAAAAAGTTATTTTATGCAATTTACATTATTGTGGTCAGAGGGATATTTTGCAAAGCAGACAAGCTAGCCAGAAAGGGTGCTTCAGCACAACTAAGTAATCTGGGTATATCGCTAACGTCATGCAAACTGTTACTGAGTTCTTTTTGTGCTGAACTTTGTGATAACAGATGGGAAAACTCAACGATATCTAACCATCTGGTCATGTTCCGATAAAAAGGAAATCCAAAATTCTCATTGAGATTCTTATGTAGAGATATCTGGAACCACGCTAGAAGATCAGGTCTCCTTTTCAATCAAACCTGTATCTGTATTATCTGAAGACATATGGTATACGGTAACCCAATGGCCAATAGGCCTAAGTGGATCCACCAGGGACCGCCGGTATAACCTAACCTAACCTAACCTACACTATTGTGAACGAAAGGAGCGTGAGGTCGATGTCTATCTTCATATTATGAATATATTATCACCTATCACAATAGAGCTAACACCAGTAACGCGGAATATAATCAAGAAATTATCTCCCCCTATTCCAAATCAGTATCCACGTTTGCATTGTAACAAAGTTCAACTTCATGAATAAAAGATGTCCTCCTAAGTCATAAAAAGTTATTTATCACTTATAAATATTTAAATTTAGAATTGTTTTAGTGCCACAATTCCTTACAACATCACGCATCTAACTATTCTCTTGAGAAAACTCGACATTAATTTGAGTTCTATGATAATATTATATCTATAAATATTTATAATTTTGTTATTAAACTATTGCATAAGGGTAGATAGCGAAAAGATTATGACTAACACTAACAAAGTAAACAATGACAACGCAAAAACAATAGGACAATAACAACAAGAATATTTAAATGAAGTTTTATTTTTAAATTGAACCTGCATATGTCTTCAATATGCGGCTGGAGTACTGGGAAGACTTCCCAGGTCTTAGACAAAGCACTACACAAAGCAAAGCACTGATAAATCCGTACTCCTACAAAATCATTCTTAAATTCTCAAAATGTAATTTAAGGTTGATAACGGGTTTTATTACAGGTTATTATGGCCTGAAATATCACCTTCAGTAAGTCCGATTATCTGCTAATTCGGAATGCAGATTATGCCTCAAAGATAAGGAAACTATTATGCATATTCTTTATGACTGTCCAGCTTTAATAACGCACAGAAAAAACTTGTTTCATATGAAATTTCTGTCACTAGAACATATTAAGATTTAGTTCTAGATTTTGTTCACAAAGCGTTAAAGGTTGTTTTGTAATCAATAGTGAAATTGGTACAATTGGATTCTTCTGGCTGTAGTAGCGGCTGTTGGGCGATTTCACATCAAAATTTTGATAATAAATAATAATAATCTTCAATATAGAAAATTATTACTTTTGCATGTATATAGCAATGGGGAAATAAAGTTATGAACTTTCTTCTCAAATTTAGAGAAAACGTGTAACATTACGTGTAACAAGTACGTATTAAATATTGTATTTTTAACTCATAAAAAATAGATATTTTATTTAATCAAAGCCCAAGGATCGAAGAAAACTAAGTACTTATATAGTTTGCATACAATTTATTGTAAGTACCCTGTTTACACTTTATAATTAGGCGGATCTCAATTAGCTATACCTGTTGACAATAGACAATATCAAAAATAATTTAAAGTTATATATCGTTATATTTAATGAAATTATATTATTTAAAAGATAAAACTAATATAATATTAGCGCCTACTTAAGTGCGTCGAAGATGCAATTCGTGTGATTAGTGATTTTTTAATGTAGAAAAATATTAGATCAAACAGTTATTTAAAATTTTAATTTTAAAAATGAAATTATGTGTCGTAAAGTTTTCAGAACATTCAAAAAGACGTTTGTGACACTTCTATGTCACATGAATAGTATAAATGCTTTCAGGTAACACTACAAGATAATAATGATAACGCGTTATCTGGGTATTCTAACAAGTCTATTAAAAATAATAACGTGAATAAGTTTAAATGGATTGTGTTTGATAATGAAAGAATAACCATTAGAGGGTTTGATAAAAAAGATTAGTGTTATACGGCTCATGCGATATTCATAAATGTTTTTAACATGATATGGGTAGCTGTGGGGAAGACAATGAGAGTGCACCTCATCTACTATGTTTTTTGCCTAGCTCATGCATGGTGGCGACTCAATACTTTGGGAGTCCCATTCCTTGAGGATTTTGATCAATTGCAAGACCTGACATTAAATAGTATTTGAGGTTTCGCCAAAGTTTCTAGGTGGTTTTAAACCCTGAGTTTTTCCTACATATACGGTATCACAATGGGCCAATAGGTCTAAGTGGATCCACCAAGGATCGCCGGTATAACCTAACCTAACCTAACCTATAGGAAACAACAAAATGTGTTCCGAATATTTTTTACATGTCCAGTACTTAGAGACAAAACTTTAAATCACTGAAAGAACAACGTTTTTCTAAAATATATAATTGTATGGTTGTTAACAAATCTTGGACGCTACGTGAAATAAGCTATTCATTAATATATACAGTCAAACTTCCACAACTCGAACTTCTATAACTCGAATTTTCTATAACTGGAACCAAAAACAGTGCACCAAAGTTTTAGAGAGAAAATTACATACAATTCTGCTTCCACAACTCGAACTTCTATAACTCTAATTTCTCTATAACTTGAACAAAAATGTTGTTCTGTGCTAATAGGAATATGGGAAAGTACATTCTATAAGTCAGTCGCTGGCAGCGTGGTTTAAAGTAAATAAAATAACTTCCACTGCTACTCTTAATGGTTATAATGAACTTGATAATGAAATTTGTACATCAATCTTTCCTACAGATGAAGATATTATTGAGCACTATAACTCTAAATTATTGGATCTAATTCTAAGTGCAACGGAAAGTGATGATGAGGGTTGGGTGCATGTAATTGTTCATCAGCGTTCCAAGAATCAAGTAGAAGACACATTTAAAATTCTGAATTTATATTTGCAAACGAATGATACTACAACTGATGATCACTATAAGAGTTTGAATAAAGTGGAATCTCTTTTTATTGAAAATAAGAAAAAAAAGTAAGTCCCAAACTCTAATTTCTGAATGTTTCACTTCACTGTAACTTCTGTACTTTATTTGATTGCAAATAATATAATAAGCAAGAACAGGGTATTAGCTCCCATTTGAGCAGAGCACCGCGACCATGATTGATCTTTTGTGCTACAACAGACCCTAACTGAACAAAAGAAATTTCGCCTTTCGAATGAAGGCCAGAATGTCGGTTGTTGAGGACGTCCTAATGTCGGAAGGTGCTAGCAGTTCCCGACCCAGTGATCTCCTCCTGGCCCAGATCAAAGCTGGGCAGTCACATAGAATGTGGCTGGCTGTCTCCGCTGCCTCCAAGCAGAGTCTACAATCTATCGGATAGGCCCATTTTGTTGAGGTGGTAACGTAGCCTATGGTGACCCGTTAGATATCCCACTAGCAACCTCAACTCTGTTCTGCTTAAGAAGGATATCTTATTATAACTATAGGGGAGAACCAGCTCTTTAGCCTGACGGTTACCTCGACTGTCGCGCCAGTAGCGACTTCTCTCGGTTGAGATCCAGTTATTGATTAGAGACCTAGTTGTAGACCAACTTAATCCACAAAAAGGTTCTGGGCCACAGATTAGAGTGGCGGATCCTGCCCGTGCAAGACTATCGGCAGACTCATTACCATTAATTCCTGTGTGACCAGGCACCCAGCACAGTGTCACTTTATTATTGCTTGCCAGCTGCTGCAGTGTGTCATAGCAGTCTGCTAGAAGTTTTGAGTAAAACTTCCAGGAGCATAACGCTTTAATTGCTGCTTGACTATCTGAATAAATACAGATTCGGGCGCCTTTCAACCCTTTGTTAATGTTGATACGAGCGCAGACCTCGATGGCGTGAACCTCAGCTTGGAAGACAGTGGGCCATATACCCAGCGCGAGCGAGATTCTGGTGTTTGGACCAAATATTCCAGCATCAACTCCTTCTTTGGTTTTCGAACTATCAGTATACCACGATATCACTTTTGGTTCGAGTCCAGGAGTGCCATTTACCCAGTCCAATCGATCGGATATGAGGACTTCGAACTTCCTACCGAAGCGAAGTTCCATGTTCATGCGATCTGTCCTATCGCAGATTGATTGCAAATAAATAAATACATATTTTAAAATGTAATTCTAGTTTCTTTCAAAAATAAAAATAAATAAATTCTCTAACTCGAAGTTTCCATAAGTCGAACCTTTTCTTTGCAAAATTGGACTTCGAGTTATGGAAGTTTGACTGTATTTAAAATGTTCAAAGTTTATATAATTTATAGAAAAAATGTACCAAAGTTCTCTGTTTTAGTATTCTATGTACACTCTATTATGATTACTTCAAAAATGCAACAAAAATTATAATATAATTTTATATTACATTTAAAGAACATTGTAAACAAAACTGATAATATTGATATCTAAAAGTATTCGTAGTTTTATCAAGAAATTTTTTTCTCTGTACACACAGTCTTCCATAAATTCACACACATGCAT